AGGCGCCCCAACCCCCGATCAGCCCTGCTCTGTGCCTGATAGGGGGGAGCTCCCCAACCCCCTGTGGCTCTGGGTGTGACAGGGTGCAGTGCCCCCAACCCCCTGATCGGCCCTGCTCTGTGCGTGACGGGGTGGCGCTGCAACCTCCCTATCGACCCTGCCTTGACTGTGACAGGGCCTCTCCCACCTCCATGGCAGCACTAAGAATGTCCAACTAATGGTTTAGACCTGATCTCTTGGGGGCCTAAGCCTTTAGTCGGACATCCCCAAGGGCTCCCTGGCTGCTAGAAGGATGTCTGACTGCAAGCTTAGGCCTGATTCCCCGGGGAGTGGGCCTAAGTCGACAGGTGGACATCCCCAAGGGGTCCTGGACTGCGAATGGGCCCAGGCTGGGCTGAGGGACGCCCCCCGCCCCCGGTCAGTGCACAAATTTTGGGGCACCGGGCCTCTAGTATATTTATAAAATTTACAGGCAAAATTTTGGTTCTTTGTGTGAAGCTTTTCTAGGACCCGACTCTTCAGAACTAATACAGCATCCCTTGAGCAAAAACCACTCTAAACCAAGAGAGTCCAATATACTGCTCCTATTAGTCTGGAGCCCATCATTCCATTATAGGATAATTATTAGAAGATATTGCTATTTAGTTTAGGACTAAGTAGAACATTTTCACATATTTTGATTTCTTCATTAGTTGCCACTATACAATCACATACATAATGTGACATTTAAAATCATGTCTTTGGAATTCCCACTTCACTTTCAGAAGGGTTCAAAGTGTTATAGTTAACCCCTTCCCCGGCAGAAACGTGTATACTCGTTTTCACAAAATGTTCTTTTTCAGTCGTCGACGAGTATACTAAGAAAATATGGTAAAAAAATATGGTTTATAGGAAGACGAGTTACAAACTGTTTTCATAACCAGCATCAAAAATACTATATAGAACCAAAATAAAAAATTAGTGTGAAAAAGAAACGTTTTTAACAAAAAAATTGTTGGGGAAGGGGTTAAGAGAGTAAGCTGGCTGGATTAAAATTTCAGATTCATTATATAGCAACTATGTAAGCTTAGGCAAGTTACTTCACCTCTTGAGCTTCAGTTACCTAAGATGGGAAAGTGGGATATACCTCTTGGAGTTATTGTAATACAGGTAATACATGAAACAGGTTCACAGCACTGCCTAAAGAGAGTGACACAATAAATTTTAGCCATTAGTATTATGTTTACATTAAATATGACAAAATGATTATAAATTGGATATATTTTTTTAACCTTGCAGATTCAAGGCCTCAAAAATTGGTTCAAAAGTCAGAATTGTTCCTCTCTATGAAAATCTTTAGTAAAAGGTGAAAGATTTATGTGATCTAAAGAGAAACCAGAGTATTTGTTACTGTTTTGCAGAATGTTGACTGCCTAAAGTATCTAAATAACTTAAGAAGATGCTGAGATTGGTGTAGATGATCTCTGAGTTCCTTTTAACTCTGAGATTTTATGAATAACAGCAATGCCAAGTAAGAGTGACTAAGACTAAGAAATAACAATGAAGAATAGAATAATAATGACCCACTAAATGGTATACATACAGGACATGAGTGGGCCTCACTAAGTCTTAGCTATCTATATAGATAATAGCCTAAGCGACCAAATGACCAAACGATCGGAACAACCAGACTGACCGGTTGCAATGATGCGCACTGACCACCAGGGGGCAGACGCTCAACGCAGGAGTTGCCCCCTGGTGGTCAGTGTGCTCCCACAGTGGAGCGCCGCTCAGCTGACTGACCAGTCCCAGTGGCCCACCATCCCAGCGGCAGCCACTTACTCAGTAGTCCTGCAGGTCCAATCTCCAGAGAACAGGCCAGGCACCGACGGACCAGAACTGCCGGCATGATCCTGACAGTGTGGCCGGCCTCCTGGAAGTCGGCCTCGGGCACCGTAACCACCTTCCCCTCCCTAGATGCTCAGTAAGGAAGAAACAATATAAAAGTGGTTGCCAGGTGGCTCCTGACAACTGGCACAAATGTCAGCGGGATGGATCTGGATCCTGGGCTGGCAAAGGCATCCCGCCAGCCTGGAGGGGTGATCATGTCCCGGCCCTCCTCACCCCCCTCAGAATCCCACCCGTGCATGAATTCGTGCACCGGGCCTCTAGTATAAAATAGTTATTTAGCTTCCTCAGTCTTGGTTCCTCGTTTCTAACAAGAAGTTAATATTACAATCTCATAGATTTTGATTGTGATAGATACTGTTTATTGTTACCATAGTACCTGACATGGAAACAATAAACAGTATCTATCATAATCAACATGAAAATGAGTAAGATATAAGCACTAATTTCTGAAAAATTTGAGTTTTTATGAAATTTATCCCCTCCCTTTCTAGTTATTTCAATAGTTCATTTTATCCCTGAACTTTTAGTAATAGTATATTGGTCTATAGTAGTGTTTTTTGTTACACTCACTCACGTAACATACTAACAAATTATTTTCTAGAGTGGCAATAACATATCTAGACTCAAATGAATGCTCCTACCCTAACTCATTTGGTGGGAAACAAAAGTAGAGATGGAGAAAAGACACTTTATAATTAATTTTTTTCATAAGTCACCCACAATACTGAGAGCTGGGCACAACTAATCACAGCTCTCTGCTGAACATAACAATCCATTATTGTGTCCTTTGTTACCCTCAAAGCATACTTTAGACCCAGAAACTAGGGATATTTCACCAAAATATCGGTTTGACAGAGGTAGATATATAAATTGGAAGCAGACAACAAATATTTGTGGAATTGGAGGCAGACAACAAATATTTGTGGAATAAATAACTATGAGATACTTTATTTTGTTGTTAATACTCACCTGAGGATATTTTCCCCTTGATTTTTAGAGAGTGGATGGGAGGGAGAGGGAGAGAGAAACATTGATGTGAGAGAAACACATCAATTGGTTGCTTTCCCACATGCCCTCATTGGGGCTGGGGATCGAACCTGCAACCCAGGTACACGCTGTTGACCGAGAATAGAACTCAAGACCCTTCAGTGGACAGGCTGATACTCCAATCACTGAACATACTGGCCAAGGCAGATATACTTTCTTTTGGTAGACTATCTATATCTATATCTATTTTTTGACAGACAACTGTTTAATTTTTTTTTTCATAATCATAAACTTAACTCTGCAATCCAGCTAGACTGGGAAGAGGTAAGGAAATTATGGAACCCAATGAACTGTGGCAAGAGCACAAAGATTATAGAACATTCCAAACAAATCGGGGTGAAGGGGTGCTCTCCTGAGCTACAGAAGGAATGGTCTGATGGTTAAAATAAAACACAAGTCAAATTTATTAGGGTTGTCCACAGTCAGCAATGGTGATCTTCTTGCCATTCCTGGACCCAAAGCACTCCATGGCTGTCACAATATCCATGCTGTCTTTCACCTGGCGGAAGACCACATGCTTGCCTTCCAACCACTCAGGCTTGGCAGTGCAGATGAAAAACTGGGAGTCGTTTGTGTTAGGTCCAGCATTTGCCATGGACAAGATGCCAGGACCTGTATGTTTTAGAATGAAGTTCTCATCCTCAAATTTCTTCCCATAGATGGATTTGCCGCCTGTGCCATTATGGGTATGGAATCACCACCCTGGCACATAAGTCCCGGAATAATTCTGTGAAAGCAGAAACCTTTATAAGCAAATCCCTCCTCCCCAGTACTCAGAGCACGGAAGTTTTCTGTTGTCTTTGGAACTTTGTCTGCAAACAGCTCGAAGGAGACGCGTCCCAAGGGCTCGCCGTCGACAGCGATGTCGAAGAACACAGTGGGGTTCACCATGGCTAGTCACCGGCGGCTCTGGGGCGGTGGCATCTGCAAAGCCTAGATTATATATTTTTGTACAAGCTGGTCTACCTTAATACAAACATGCTTTACAACTTCAATTTTCCTGTATAGGATTCTTTGGTAGGAATCACCAAAAATGCCACAAACAGTGATTAGATAAGGCATCAGAATACACCCGAAACTTGCTGTAAGTAGCAACACAAAATAGATTGGCTTGGTTAGGCAATGTATAAAGAAAATGAGGGTTGAATGTTTAATAGGTACTGTCTTTTTTTTTTTTTTTGCCTTTTTAAAGGTGGTTTGCATTTTTTTAAATGTTTTTATTGATTAGAGAAAGGAAGGGAGAGGGAGAGAGGGATAGAAGCATCAATGATGACAGAGAATCACTGATTGGCTGCCTCCTGGGATCAAGCCTGTAACCTTGGCATATGTCCTGACTGGAAATCAAACAATGACCTCCCGGTTCATAGGTCGACCCTCAGCCACTGAGCCACACTGGCCAGGCCTGTGTTTCCTTTTAAGGTGATGTTTTGGAACTAGACAGAGATAACAGTTGCACAGCATTGTGAATATACTAAATGCCACTGTACACTTTAATATGATTGTACACTTTAATATGATTAATTTTACATTTTTACTTTTACCTCATTTTTAGAAAATGTGGGGAGTAGAAGCAATTAATATGCAAAGAACATTGAACTTGGAGTCAGAAAATGTTAAATTTTATCCTGTGTAAATCACCTACTAATTATATGAATGTGTCCTCTTTTGAGCCTCAGTTTTATGTTCAATCTAGTATTGTATCCACTGCCTAGCAGGACGTTGTATTGATGAGATGAGAATGTATATAAAACTACTTTGTAAACTGTTCAGCATTATATCAATTTTAGTAAAAAATAGGAGCAGAGAAAAAAAACATGAGCAGACATTTTTATGAGGAAAAACTAGTTCCATTTTTAAGTTTTGTTTTTCGTTATTTAGTCCCTCCTATACTGATGACCAAACAACAGTATTAAATTGTTAATTAAATATCTAATAGATGTATTATTTTATGTAAATAAGCCCCAATATCAACATGGTACGAAAGAAATCAAATTTCTTAGCCAGAAGAGACTAAGGGCGGGGAGAAGCATTTGTAGGATGGGGTTCTTCTGTGAGACACTCACCAAGTGCTGCAGAGTCATGGAGTGGTCTTCTCCTGGAACTTGTGGTGGAGAATGAGTAGTATGGTGCCCCAGGTTTTCCTGAAGAAGACAGCTGTGCTGGGCTCCCAAGCCCTAGATCTTGTCTCAGGAGACTAGACTATAAAACAAGGCCAAGGAAACAAGTTATGTTCCCACTGATAATGACCAAACCTGAAAATTTCAATACTACTAAATTATTTATAGTTCCTTCAACAATGTTTTGAATTTAAGAAGCATCCAATAAGTACTTATTTGAGTACTTAGGCCACTCAATTAGACCATTTGTTTAAGCATATATTTCTCCGCCCCCCCCCCTCCATCCGTGGATGGCCTACTTTCTAATAATTATGTGGATCTATATAATCTTAAGATTGAAAGACACTTTAGTTACTATGTGGCTCTATCCATTCATCAAGAATGTTAAAGAAAAAAGGGCCACCCAGTCTTTGCTTGAATGCTTTCATGACCACATATGCATCAATTTTGTTCCGTTCCTATTCTCTTTCTGGATAGGAATATTCTCTTCATTGTTTGAAGACCACCAGTATTTTCAGGGCTAGCTATTCCTTTGGTAGGAATCACCAAAAATTCCCACACTTAAACAGTGATTGGATAAGGTGTCATCTTCAACAGTGTCTCCTGAAGGGTTTGAATATCCTCCTTACGGTCCCTGACACAGATTATGGATATATTTTCAGTTTATCAAAGTCTCTTGTAAAATGAAATGGAGGACAATATGTCAGATTACTGCAGAATAGTTTTCAACACCACATTTGTGCTAACTCAAATTGAAAGGTAAAGAGTGATCACACCCTACTACTCTATTGCATATGCTGCAATTAAGTCATGTGCCTAGGTACATACGTGCTCCTGACCTTTAAGTCCATGGGCCGACACTCTAACCACTAAGGCAAACTGCCATAGCCTGTTTACTGATTTATTCATTTACTTATTTATTTCGTTAATCCTCACATGAGGATATTTTTCCCATTGCTTTTTGGAGAGTGAAAAGGGGTGGGGGAAGACAGAGAAACATTGATGTAGATACACACACAGACTGGTTGCCTCCCACATGCACCCCAACTGGGGGCAGGAAGAGAACCGCAACCCAGGTATATGCCCTTGATAGGGAATGGAATCCAAGACACTTAGATGCTCGGGCTGACACTCTAACCCAGGGGTAGGCAAACTTTTTGACTCAAGGGCTACAATGGGTTCTTAAACTGGACCGGAGGGCCGGAACAAAAGCATGGATGGAGTGTTTGTGTGAACTAATATAAATTCAAAGTAAACATCATTACATAAAAGGGTACGGTCTTTTTTTTTTTTTTTAGTGAATCCGGCCTGTGGGCCGTAGTTTGCCCATGGCTGCTCTAACCTCTTAGCCACAGTGGCCAGGGTCTGTCTTCTTTTTAATGTAGGCATTTATAACTATAAATTTCCCTCTGATTATTGCTTTTGCTGCATCTCATGTTTTATATTGTCTTTTCATCTTCACTTGATAGTTCATTTTTCTTAAAAGCCTATTCAACAATGCTGAAGCACAAACAGAATGGATGGGCATGGACAGCATTATGCTAAGCAAAATAAGCCAGTTAGAGAAAGATAAATATCACATGATCTCACTCATTTGTGGAATATAATGAACATAAACTGATGAACAAAAATAGATCCATAGACAGAGAAGCACTGAACAGACCGTCAAACCTCAGAGGGAAGGCAGGGGAAAGGGGGGTGGGATGGTGGATAAGAGATCAACCAAAAAACTTGAATGCATGCACATAAGCATAACCAATGGACACAGACACTAGGAGGGTGAGGGCATGTGCTAGGGGGTGGGAGTGGCCAGGGAGAGGAAGACATATGTAATACTTTAATCAATAAAGAATAAAAAAAAAATGCTGAAGCATACATTCAGTACTCAAAGTACTAAACCAGGTAAAGATCATTCTATCTTTTAGAAATGCTTATAATTAAATTTTTTTCCCCAGACTCCTCAAAAGGTAAATTCTTCTTGGAACAGAGGCGATACCTTCTTGATAAAGGAGAAAAGTGAAAAGAAAATTTCAATCACCAGATAATATGATGTGTACATGAAAAGACTACATAGTATTATTAATGTAACTAGAGGCCCGGTGCACAAAAATTTGTGTACTCGGGGGGAAGGAGGGGTCACTCAGCCCGGCCTGTGCCCTCTCGCAGGCTGGTGGGTGACTAAAGCTCCCAACTACTCCTTTTTTTCTTTTTTTTTAAATTCTGGGCCAGCTTTAGCTCTGAGGCTCCAGCTCTTAAGCCTCTGCTGCTGAAAGCAGGTTTCTGGCTTTTGTTTACCTTCTGTATTTGAAACAATGTTGCGATCCTGCTGGCTGAAGCCCGGGACTAAAGCTGGTTTCTGGGGTTTTGTTTAGCTTCTATATTTGTAACATACTTGCTTAGAGTTGCAGCTCAGCGGCCGGCAGCGGCAGGCGGGGAACGTTGGAGGCCTCCGTCACTGATGTAAGCAAGCCTCATGTTCGCTTCCAGCTGCCTGGCTGCCGGCCGCCATCTTGGCTGGCAGTAATTTGCATATTGCCCTGATTAGCCAATGGGAAGGGTAGCGGTCGTATGCTAATTACCATGTTTCCCTTTTATTAGATAGGATTATTTAGCATTAAGTGCACAAATTCCAACAGATACAAGGTTCAACAGATTAAGAAAGATGTGGCTCTGGCTGGTGGCTCAATTGGTTGGAATGTCCTCCCATACACCATAAGGTTGATGGTTCGATTCCAGGTCAGGGCACATACCTAGGTTGCAGGTTTGATCTCTGGTAGAATGTAAATGGGAAGGCAACTCATTGATGTTTCTCTCTTTCTCTCCCTTCCTCCCTCTCTAAAATTAATAAACATATCTCTGGGTGGGGATGAAAAAAATAAAGAAGATATAATTATCAGACATAAAGGAGAAGCAGTACCCCTTAAAATAATAATCTAGGAGAAGTGATAAAATTGAGGAAATCAATATAAATGTCAATAGCACATGTATTCTTTCTATTTCTATAGCAAACCTTTAGCAATGGATCTGATTATGTCAAAGTGGTATTGACATTTCATTGTCATGTATGCTTTGTGTTTTTCTTTCTTTTTTAAAAGCACAGACTAGGCACATTCAACATTCCTCAAATAGCAATCAAAATATGGCTCAGTGTGCTGGATGGGACATATTATTACCACATGTTTGAGGCCAGGGGTCATGTACCTTGAAATTTTCCTTTAAATAACAGTCTTTTAGGATGTTCCCTGCTCAGTGCAAAACTGCCTTTCATATATTTTCAGGCATCTGCTGTATTTATTACTTCATCTGCTTTTTCTCATATAGAAGGCACGTATGAAACTGGTCACTGTACATATACAAACAAATACATGAGAGGAACTGGGTATTCATATGTCTCTTAACAGTGCTCCTTATAAATTTCCTTGGCATATAAATTCTAATGGGCATATAAGATAATGATTTATACAAAGGGTCAACAATTTGCAGGTCAAATTGGGCCTGTTTCAAAAATGTTTTTATTGGAACAGTCTCACCCATTCATTTATGTATTAGCTATGGTTGTTTCTGTGCTACAATAGATAAACTTTCAGATGAGTAAAATGTAGTCAGTGAGTTATTTCTTCAAAGAAGTCAAATAGTAGTCATAATAAAGACTAACAGAGGCATAAAATAATCTGTCATGAATGGGAAAGCTCATTTCTTATAATCCTAAAAGTAGATGAAATGTTTCCAAAAACTGTATGTCCTGAAATAGCATGAGCTTCATAGTTAGCTACCCTGAGTTCGAATCCTGACTGTATGATCTGGGGTAAATTATCTAACATTAATGCATCTGTTTCCTTTTCTATTAATGGATGTATTATCAATTAGTTTACAGGGTTGCTGGGAGAAGTAAATAGGATTTAAATAAAACTAAGCATGGTTGTAGAACCTAGTCAAAACAAAATAAAACAAAAAAAATGATTACCACATTCTAAGTATCACAAAAGAATAAAAATAAGATGAATGACATTTTAAATTGTTTCCTGGGCACAAACTCTTTGTCCTAAGGTAGGAGACCTTGAGTGCCTTGAATCAAAGATGTTAGAAGCAGCAAAGAGGACAGACAGACTCCTTGAAAGAGGGTTGACAACTAGAGGGTAAATCCTGAGAGGAGTGTGACAGATTCAAACTGTTTCAATTTAAGTCAAGAATAAATTGACATATGACAACTTAATTCTCAAAATGATTAAGGAAATGTAAGGATTTTTGTATAAACCTACCTTTAGCATCCAAACATATAAACACATTGAGTGAAAGAAAAGGAATGGTGAATTATACAAGTGTGGTGGAATGTTAATTAATGAATCTTGGTTAATAAGGGCATGGATGCTCATTGTACTATTATTGCATGTTTCCTGTGAATTTGCAATTTTTTCAAAATAAAAAGTTGGATAAAATCAGAATAAATATCAAGGATTCAGAAGCACACTTTCAAATGTATTATCTCAGTTAATATTTACTACGACCTTAATTATTATGTAAATTTTATGTTTTATAGATAGCAAGTAGTAGAACCCTAATTTGAATCTAGGTCTGTTTCAGAAGCTTCTTTCTCAATACAACAAGACTTCTACAATAGTCCACGAACCTAATTACCATTTATAAGATTGCTAACTTGGAGAAAAATAAGTGAGCTGTCCATGAATTTGGTGGGTAACAGTCCTAAAGCTGAGGTGCCCACAGAATACATATTGGTAGACTTTGCACATATGCATAGGATAAAGGGGCAGGGGGAGGAGAACAAGCTTTTTGGGACAAAAAAAAAGTGCTTGCTAACAATTTTAGTTCTGCTAAAAACTTTTTCCTTACTAGAGACAAATATGGAGATGTGGTTAGGGAATAAATACTCTGTCTTGCTCTATACTGAATCTTAATGTTCCCCCGCAAACTGGAGAAGCTGTCCTAATCATAGAAATAACCTATTTAATCTGTATCTTGAGCTATATAATTAGGCAAAGTATATGTAGAAGAAATTGTTCCTTTTTAAGAACATACGATGATACTTTATCCTATTAACTAAAAATAAATTGCTTAATACTATAA